CAGTAATGCGCTGCAGTGCTGTGTCTGTACTTTATGCTCATAAACTACAGACAGTAATGCGCTGCAGTGCTGTGTCTGTACTTTATGCTCATAAACTACAGACAGTAATGCGCTGCAGTGCTGTGTCTGTACTTTATGCTCATAAACTACAGACAGTAATGCGCTGCAGTGCTGTGTCTGTACTTTATGCTCATAAACTACAGACAGTAATGCGCTGCAGTGCTGTGTCTATACTTTATGCTCATAAACTACAGACAGTAATGTGCTGCAGTGCGTGTGTCTGTACTTTATGCTCATAAACTACAGACAGTAATGCGCTGCAGTGCTGTGTCTGTACTTTATGCTCATAAACTACAGACAGTAATGCGCTGCAGTGCTGTGTCTGTACTTTATGCTCATAAACTACAGACAGTAATGCGCTGCAGTGCTGTGTCTGTACTTTATGCTCATAAACTACAGACAGTAATGTGCTGCAGTGCTGTGTCTGTACTTTATGCTCATAAACTACAGACAGTAATGCGCTGCAGTGCTGTGTCTATACTTTATGCTCATAAACTACAGACAGTAATGCGCTGCAGTGCTGTGTCTGTACTTTATACTCATAAACTACAGACAGTAATGTCTGCAGTGCTGTGTCTGTACTTTATGCTCATAAACTACAGACAGTAATGTGCTGCAGTGCTGTGTCTGTACTTTATGCTCATAAACTACAGACAGTAATGCGCTGCAGTGCTGTGTCTGTACTTTATGCTCATAAACTACAGACAGTAATGCGCTGCAGTGCTGTGTCTGTACTTTATGCTCATAAACTACAGACAGTAATGCGCTGCAGTGCTGTGTCTATACTTTATGCTCATAAACTACAGACAGTAATGCGCTGCAGTGCTGTGTCTGTACTTTATGCTCATAAACTACAGACAGTAATGCGCTGCAGTGCTGTCTGTACTTTATGCTCATAAACTACAGACAGTAATGTGCTGCAGTGCTGTGTCTGTACTTTATGCTCATAAACTACAGACAGTAATGCGCTGCAGTGCTGTGTCTGTACTTTATGCTCATAAACTACAGACAGTAATGTGCTGCAGTGCTGTGTCTATACTTTATGCTCATAAACTACAGACAGTAATGCGCTGCAGTGCTGTGTCTGTACTTTATGCTCATAAACTACAGACAGTAATGTGCTGCAGTGCTGTCTGTACTTTATGCTCATAAACTACAGACAGTAATGCGCTGCAGTGCGTGTGTCTGTACTTTATGCTCATAAACTACAGACAGTAATGTGCTGCAGTGCTGTGTCTGTACTTTATGCTCATAAACTACAGACAGTAATGCGCTGCAGTGCTGTGTCTGTACTTTATGCTCATAAACTACAGACAGTAATGCGCTGCAGTGCTGTGTCTGTACTTTATGCTCATAAACTACAGACAGTAATGTGCTGCAGTGCTGTGTCTGTACTTTATGCTCATAAACTACAGACAGTAATGTGCTGCAGTGCTGTGTCTGTACTTTATGCTCATAAACTACAGACAGTAATGCGCTGCAGTGCTGTGTCTGTACTTTATGCTCATAAACTACAGACAGTAATGCGCTGCAGTGCGTGTGTCTGTACTTTATGCTCATAAACTACAGACAGTAATGTGCTGCAGTGCTGTGTCTGTACTTTATGCTCATAAACTACAGACAGTAATGCGCTGCAGTGCGTGTGTCTGTACTTTATGCTCATAAACTACAGACAGTAATGCGCTGCAGTGCGTGTGTCTGTACTTTATGCTCATAAACTACAGACAGTAATGCGCTGCAGTGCTGTGTCTGTACTTTATGCTCATAAACTACAGACAGTAATGTGCTGCAGTACGTGTGTCTGTACTTTATGCTCATAAACTACAGACAGTAATGTGCTGCAGTGCTGTGTCTGTACTTTATGCTCATAAACTACAGACAGTAATGTGCTGCAGTGCTGTGTCTGTACTTTATGCTCATAAACTACAGACAGTAATGCGCTGCAGTGCTGTGTCTGTACTTTATGCTCATAAACTACAGACAGTAATGCGCTGCAGTGCTGTGTCTGTACTTTATGCTCATAAACTACAGACAGTAATGTGCTGCAGTGCTGTGTTTTCATCACGACTCGGGCACATGTGAAAAGCACCAGCTCACACAGCGCCGCACCACAACACAGAGTCGGGGTGCGTTCACAGACGGTGGAAACCGTAGGAATTTTTAGATTTCGGCGGAAAAAGTGCGAGAATTCCGGAGGGAGGAACTTTCTCTCGTTGTGTTTCAAAAGAGAAAACAGATTCCAACGTTCATAGTGATGTCTGCCGTTCATGACACATAAAATGAACTAATTCACGTTCAAGTTCTTTTTTTAAAAATGTGTTGCGTTCAGTTCAATGTTCACAAAAAAATGAGCGTGTTCAATGAACGCGTTCTTTTGAACTCGTTCACGCACAACACTGGGTACTTCAATAATGCCGACCCAGTTGGGCCAGAGCAAAGA